TACTTACATCGTGCCGTTATATGTGTTGTTGTATATACATTTCACAACAGGTACTTACATCGTGCCGTTATATGTGTTGTTGTATATTTATTTCACAACAACTACTTACATCGTGCCGTTATATGTGTTGTTGTATATACATTTCACAACAAGTACTTACATCGTGCCGTTATATGTGTTGTTGTATATACATTTGACAACAAGTACTTACATCGTGCCGTTATATGTGCTGTTGTATATACATTTCACAACAGGTACTTACATCGTGCCGTTATATGTGCTGTTGTATATACATTTCACAACAACTAGTTACATCGTGCCGTTATATGTGTTGTTGTATATACATTTCACAACAGGTACTTACATCGTGCCGTTATAAGTGTTGTTGTATATACCTTCCGGAACAAGCCCCCATCCAGTTTAGATATTACGTATCTTGGTTTTTATATGTTTGTGTTGTTGTATATGCATTTCACAACAGGTACTTACATCGTGCCGTTATAAGTGTTGTTGTATATACCTTCCGGAACAAGCCCCCATCCAGTTTAGATATTACGTGTCTTGGTTTTTATATGTTTGTGTTGTTGTATATGCATTTCACAACAGGTACTTACATCGTGCCGTTATATGTGTTGTTGTATATACCTTCCGGAACAAGCCCCCATACAGTTTAGATATTACGTGTCTTGGTTTTTATATGTTTGTGTTGTTGTATATACATTTCACAACAGGTACTTACATCGTGCCGTTATAAGTGTTGTTGTATATACCTTCCGGAACAAGCCCCCATCCAGTTTAGATATTACGTATCTTGGTTTTTATATGTTTGTGTTGTTGTATATAACTTTGAAAAACAAGCACTCCTCATCCAGCCATGTTGTATTTCATGTGCTGTTAAATAAAACTTTTATAACAAAAACTACCAACCCAGCCGTTATGTATTAATTGTGCTGTTGTGTATACCTTTAAAGAACAAATACTCCCATCCAACCGTTANCTGCCTGCGTTAACCAATTAAGACTTATTTCTTGACCGACTGCCTGTGTTAACCAATTAAGACTTATTTCTTGACCGACTCCCTGCGTTTACCAATTAAGACTTACATCTTGACAGACTGCCTGTGCGTACCACTTAAACTCAATGGAAGTGGTGTCGGATACGTCCGCCGTCAGATTGAGCACTCGTAGTTCAAGCCTCACTTCTGTGGCGGTGTAATTATCGAGAAAAACTAACAGGTCGCCAATGCGTGTGCAAATCGTGTTTTCAAACACAATTGGAGAACTTCCTGTCATGATGTTATTCAACGCCTCCTGTCGGATTGGGTAGGAAACATTTCCGTAGAAGTGTATGTCCCAATCAACAGAAAAGGGACTGTCTCTGAAATAAGATTAGAATCAAACAGTAAAAATGTAGACAGTATTGATTACAACAACATAATACCAGATACCCCTGTTAAATACTCATGTCTTCGCGGCATTGACTGAAGTACTACAATCTCGTAAACTTACTTCCTAAGTAAATCGATTTATGGTTATGGAACCAACCTGAAAGACGTCACGGTTATTTCTTTAAAGCTGGGGAATTGTCGAGGATTCTCCAAAATAGACACAGTCGCCTGGCCAACAAATAAAAACAAAAAAATCAGAAACTTGTGTGACATTTCTTTGTGCCAACTCCGGGTACAAGAAAGGGGAATGACTTCATCTATATATACTAGCAAATCTATATTCAGATAAATAGATAAAAACGAGAACCGTTAATACTGATGCATATACACAGACTTCAACTTTTATAACTCAAGGACTTTTAACAGAGATAATCTAGTGTTTGAATGGAGGCACATCAAAATTCAAAGACAATTATTACAGTGCCAATGCTGAATGATACAGAAAATATGTAATTAACAATACCGTATAGCTAAAAACCTTCCCGAATTTTCAACAAATTCCATGACACAAAGGAGAAGACATTTATTATACTCGCAGTGCACATCAAAAGTTATCAACTCACTTTTCGACAAAAAATCAATACTGAATTATATGTATCACATTTGCTTCAGACACTGTAATACAGCTACTTACTTGTATATGTATATAATAATAGCATACATTTAACATAAATACCATACGACCATTAACGCTGTGTGTTTAAATGTCATTATAGCATTTCTGTCTAACGAGATAAGCTATTACCGGAATTATCCAAAAATCCAAATTTGCGTGTGTTAAACAAACTTTTTAACACAGTTTCTATGAAGTCACTTACTTGAAAAATGAAAGGGTTGGCAAGTTTTTTGAAGTCGAATGATTTGTTATCCCTCAGAGTGTCGCTAAATGTTCTATTCAGAACTGTCGAGGTGTATTGAAATGCAACGACAAAATCTAGAAGACAAATAAACAAATAATCAATGAAACAAAACGAAGAAACGATTTTGGAAGTACATGTGAAAAAATCCCATTACAAATAGGTCAGTACACAAACAAATCAGTCTACATATATATGTCGGTTAATCAGCTTTGGGTATATGAAAACGAGTTATTCACGACAAACACATAGAAATAACTTGGATACATATACATAGTGAGACATTCTAGCCAGATTGTATATTAGCTCACTATATATTGGCAACCTAAGATAAGCAAATAGGTTTTAAAAATGTAAATGTTAATGTTAATACGTGAAATGCAACACAAAAGGCTTTTCAAATAAATTAACTGTGCGGTTTTATTAATATATTCAGATTCAAAGGATAAGCCTTGACGTCTGATTTATTATTTGACCTGTTGAGCGCGTGTGTTTGGAGACGTACCATTACCACAGTCGGGTCCGGTGTAATTTTGTGGGCATTGGCACGTGTACTTCCCTGGAGTATCCACACAAGTTGCTCCGTTCATACAAGGTGTCCTCTGACACTCGTCAATATCTACAACAATGTGATGATATAGATCATTCAAACTTACTACGGGCGATATCTACAACAATGTGATGATATAGATCATTCAAACTTACTAGGGGCGATATCTACAAATATTTATTGTGGTGTTCAAGGAAGCCAAGACAATATATACATGTGCAAGGAGTTCATGATACAATTTTGTAATACTGCTTTTTGTTTTATATTTCCAAAGATTTGGTGATAGAGTATACATACAACTACAACACACAAATAAATATAAATCACAAAACCTAACACAAGCTAAAATAATTTTGGAATTGTCGATATGATTAGCAAAACTGACATTTGTCAATATTTACAATGACTTATTGATATAATTCGTAAAACCAATAATCATTATCTATCTACAAGTTTTTCATAATATACAAATATACATGTAATTCGGTAAACAGGTGATTTTCTGGTCATGTCAATAAAGTTCCAGGCCTTACATAATTGATTTTAGTTTGTGAATAAGACAATGACCTAGTTTAGTACATAAATCAACATAAGACGAGGGAAACAAATTGATTACGTTTTAAACTGAGAAATTTCAGAAATCATCAAAGTATTCTGTATCCAAAATAGCAGAAAACACTCTTGTAAGTACCTCTTGCCAGATAAAAGCAACAATAGACTTGCGCCGAAAAGCCTATTCAATAACTGACATGCAGCCTTGTTGTCAAGTGTCCCTATAATGCAGTACCAAATACAATGTTATATCAGCCTTGTTGCCAGGCATTCCTAGAATGTAGTACTAAATATAACGTTATATCAGCCTTGTTGTCAAGCGTCCCTAGAATGTTGTGCCAAACATAACGTTATATCAGCCTTGTTGCCAGGCGTCCCTAGAATGCAGTGCCAAATATAACGTTATAGCAGCCTTGTTGCCAGGCGTTCCTAGAATAAAGTACTAAATATAACGTTATATCAGCCTTGTTGTCAAGCGTCCCTAGAATGTAGTGCCACATATCACGTTATAGCAGCCTTGTTGTCAGGCGTCCCTAGAATGCAGTACCAAATATAACGTTATATCAGCCTTGTTGTCAGACGTCCCTAGAATGTAGTGCCACATATCACGTTATAGCAGCCTTGTTGTCAGGCGTTCCTAGAATGTAGTGCCAAACNACCCGCCCAGCCGTTATTGATCTATTAATTTGTGTTGATGTTAATACCTTTTTAATAAATACTTCCAACCCTGCAGTTATGTGTTTGTTGCGAGTGTTGTTACCTTCAGCACAGGTATTCCCCACCCAGCCGTCTGGACATGTACACGTGAATCCGCCATCATTGTTGCCACAGGTTCCCCCATTCTGACATGAATTCAATTCACATTCATTTACATCTGAAAATCAGAAAAAATGATCTCTTATAAAATCTCTACAAATAATACTATATTGTGGATGAATATCTGTTAAAGAAACTTGGATTTTAAGTTGAACTGCTCTAGATTTTTAACCGTCAAAATGAGGGAATTTATGAACAGTTTTATAGACACCTCTTAAGTTTAATGGATGATCTTGAAGGTGAGTAACAGGGTCAAATGATACAGAAAAATGGTGTAACGGTGGAACAGAAGACAAAAATAAGGTATGCGAACGACATGATATAAATCAAGGATAGTCATTGATATAGTGTAACAACAAGAAGAGACAAGCAACAAATGGCTCAAGAAATACATAAACAATCATTTATAACGGAAAACTGCTAGAAAATAAGTAGTATTAGAAACACAGTGAATCGAGTATTCAGACAACGTACCTATTAGACACGTAGGTCCAGTCCAACCGCCCGTACAGATACAGCTAAAGGAACGCTGTTCATCAGTACATGAACCACCATTAAAACAGGGGTCGGACGCACACTCGTCTCCATCTGATACAGGTAAATAACAAAATTCATGATGTCTTCATAAAATCTGGATAAGTATGTTTGTCACCAACGACGTTCTTTTTTCACGATTGAATAAAATGATTTGTAGCATCAGCTCATGATAACGACTGCAAAATGTTTTCAAAGCAAGTCAACCATAGTCTGGTAAAAGAATCTCTTACCAAACTTAGATACTTCCACCAGGAAATTGTTTATAAAAGTAAGACGTAGTCCAGAATACTCCATCTTGGTGGCCTGTGACCTTAGAATTTCGAGTATTCGTGTCCGCTGTGTTGCGTCGGCTAAGGTAAGGTCGATTTCCAGGTTCAGAGCCGTGTTGCTTACGCTGTAAAATATACAGTAGCATCGTATCGAGTATACTAGATATTTAAAATGGCATTTTTAGTACAGAGAAAAGAAATAAAAACAGAAAACGAGCTAGGATTGGTCAATCCTTTGACAAGAAAGCCAATATGATTGCTATCCTGACTCAATCTATCTATGTTTTAAATAACGTCTTAAATATTAATCCCTTGTTACTTTAATTCACTGCACCAATGTTTAGACGTGTCAATATGACTTCTTCCTTGTGATTCGAGTCACACCTATGTTATATCTTGCGTGTTTCATGTGACTTAAGTTATACTTTTTAACGTCTTGTGTACAATATTAAACGTTAGATATACATATATATCGACTTGAATGGCATATGTGACATTTTGAGTAACACCTATATTATAACTTGATAACCGATGTTCCTGCTCTTACCTCACCAAGCCAGAGCATCGGCAAGTATTTGGGTTGTCCTTGGGCCTAAATAAAAAGAAGAACAACACTATGACAAAAGACTCGTATGATGGACACGTAATCTATGTATGATTTCATTTATCACAGTTCTGTATGACTATATTGTTAATTTCCATGCTAACATACATAGCAAACGAAAAGGAATGTATTGCGAGTACACTCATCTTATTACTTTTTATACCTAATCTGACTGACTCTCCGTGAGTTAACCAAGGTCATATATAAATCAAGGATTGTTAGTTTTATACCCTGCCTTGTGTGTCCAGTAAATGAATAAACAACCGTTCTTACCTTATCGACCTCACTGTACAGCCATGGTAATCGACAGAGAGGCCGCTGTTCTCAAAGTATTTGTCGAGCTACAATAAATTTTGATTTCACTTTTTAATCATATGCAGTAAGAGGACATCATCTTAAAATAAATAAATAAATAAAAATAGAAATAAAATAAACAGGCAAATGTCCATAGCTGTGTGTTTTCAATCAACTACAGGACATTACTATATATACACTTATATACTTCATAAAGTATATATATGTATACAAATATAGTCACACTAGAACATTCATATCTACAACCCATCATCCTAGCAAAAGCAGTAACGTCCAAAAGACAGATATCATACCTCATCACAAAACGGCAGAGCGATCGCCCGGAACTCGGGCGAGGTAATGTCCTGGAGCTTCCGTGAATAGGTATGGTTGAGAACTGGGACGGTCAATTTGGCAGAGTATGCTTCAGCTGGTGACGAACCAAACAGATGTGGTAGTAACACACAAGAACTATTTATATATCAATGTATATCTTTAGAGTGCTAACTCACTAAAACACCATGCGGGAGGCACCCATTATATTATTCCTCCGGGTCACATTATACTGATATCGGGTGAACCTCCCAGTCACATTATACTGACATCGAGTGAACCTCCCGGTCACATTCTACTGACATCGGGTGAGTNCCTTGTTGCCAGGCGTTCCTAGAATGTAGTACCAAATATAACGTTATATCAGCCTTGTTGCCAAGTGTCCCTAGAATATAGTACCAAATATAACGTTATATCAGCCTTGTTGTCAGTTAAGCGTTTCTAGAATGCAGTACCAAATATAACGTTATATCAGCCTTGTTGTCAAGCGTCCCTAGAATGTTGTACCAAATATACCGTTATATCAGCCTTGTTGTCAAGCGTTCCTAGAATGTAGTACCAAATATAACCTGGTATCAGCATTGTTGTCAAGCGTCCCTAGAATGTAGTGCCAAATATAACGTATATCAGCCTTGTTGCCAGGCGTTCCTAGAATGTAGTACCAAATATAACGTTAAAGGGGCTGGTCGGGGAAAAAAATGTCATATTTGCTAAAATGGCATACACATGTTTAAAATACCTTCTTATGAAATACACCGATACAAATTTTACTGAAATTCACTCCCTAAGAGTAAAAATTATAATAACATGTATATTAAAGAAATCCTAAATCGTCACCTGACAGTCTAAAACTCTCAATTGACCAAGATCTGTGATGTAATTTTACTGCACGCGCATCATCAACAAGGCCAAATGTAAACATCGCGGCGAAAGAAAAAGATGCATGCGAAAGTCATGACAGGCACGAGGTATCAATATCGTTATATATAACAACAACATATAGGTAGGAATACTACACTTGCATCATACATGACCTTTGAAAACAATTATTTACGTATAGTATTGCTGTCTTGTCCGCTAGTTGAGTCCGACATGGCAAGTGACGGCGTGCTATTGTTGTTATCTTCACTGCCTCACTTTCGAAACAACCACGTGATATATATAAATAGATCTGCGCTAAATTTACGCGGCGCTTTCCCGAAATTTCAGTGGTCAAAACTGGACATTGCAAGCAGAACTCGACCATCATATTGCCATGGTATACCTTTTGGAAGGCCAGAGAACGCATTTAGACCAACTTATTTTGTATTTTTTTCCCCGACCAACCCCTTTAATAATAATAATAATAATATACAGCATTTATATAGCGCCCTATATAATTTGTAAAATTACTCTAAGGTGCTTTACAACATATGGATAATGGTAATGGTTATAATTGTGAAAACAAACAAACAACAAAGGCTTGCAATCACTTTCATACATTTAACAAGCAATGTTCACATAATTGAACAAATAAAAGGGTGGTATTTACATGACGTCTTTGCAAAGATTCTAAAATGCAGACGTGAAGAGGTGAGTTTTTATGTCCCTCTTGAACTTGGCCAGGGTATTTGACTTCTTAATAGCAGATGGTAAGCTATTCCACAACGTAGCCGAAACCCTCCCAAAGCATCTGTTTCCGTAGGTCACAGTACGAGATTTTGGGACACACAACAAAGATTCTGACTCCGACCGCAGTGATCTTGACAGCTGATACAGGGTAACAAGTTCCTGTAGGTACTGAGGAGCTGTTCCATTCAGTGCCTTGTATGTGTATACCAGAATTTTGTACTGCGACCTGTAT